CTGCTTGCTCCGTGGCCTAAACAGAGTAACACGCACTAGGTACAGCCACATTCTCATCTCCGGGGACTTCAATCCACACAATCTGGAGGTTTCGGCATCGCCCAGTGAGCAGTTCAAAGCAGACTTGCAGGAACTGATCGCTAATATCCCTTTGTACAATCATGTCACCACGCCCACTAGATTCAGGACAGCAAACAAACCGTCCATATTGGACCTTGTGCTCACGAATGAAGAGCTCATGGTTGACAAGTTATTGATGGATAGTCCATTAGGTCTCAGTGACCATGTAGTAATAACTTTTGACTATGTGTGTTATGCAGAGTATCCTTCTGAACACTCGAAACTAACTCATACAATCACACGCTACCACGTATTGAAAGAACTCGCCGACGCAGCTGCTTGGGAATACTCAAACAAAAGTCCCCTTGACAACGTTTGGGTAGAGTTCGTTAATAAACTCAGCGACATCGTCAACAGAGCATCAGAGACCAAACCCCTTACTTCAGCGAAAATGCCTTCAATTCTAAGGAGTAGGACTCGAAAATGCCTGGCGATAAGGGATGCAGCATGGCATGCCTACAAACTTAACCCCGACTCAGACACTTGGGGAAATTTCCTGACCCATCGCAACCATTGCACTGCACTTGTCGGTGAGGACAAGTAAGTTATCAACAGAGCCTAGTCAAAACTTTCATGGCAAACAACAAACTGCTGTATAAGCATGTCAATAAGCTTCGTAAAGTGAAGCATGGAATCCCCACACTTTTCACAACAGGCTGTAGAGTACAAAGCGCCGAAGAAACAGCTAATGCCCTGCGGCTTCAATACGCTCCAATCTTCGAACTTGCAACCTCTACCAGTTCCATAATATCAAGCACATTACCGACACCTTTGTTTACAAATGTTATTTTCAACCCATCAGTTGTGCTAAGGAAGTTACTCTCACTGCGTGGGCATAGTTCTCCGGGAGCAGACAACATCCGCCCGAAAGCACTGAAGGCTACGGCCACCAAGCTAGCTGAACCACTGTCACAGTTCTTCCAAAGGTGCTTTGGTGAACAACAAGTCCCCACTATGTGGAAGTGTGGCATTATCACCCCTATTTTTAAAAGCGGTAGCCGTTCAGATCCTGCAAACTATCGTCCAGTGACTCTCCTCCCTGTGCTCGCGAAGGTGATGGAAGCAGTCCTCGCTGAGGCTTTAATGGACTACCTGGAAAAATGCAACATTTGGGTACCGGAAGAGCATGGCTTCCGTCAACACCGGTCATGCACCACCAACCTACTGATTGCACGAGTTAGTTGGACGGAAGTGGTCGATGATAGGGTCGGAGTCGATGTCATCTATCTGGACTTCTCCAAAGCTTTTGACCGCCTTGATCACCTCATCCTACTTCAAAGACTACAGCGTTATGGAATCGGAGATCCTGTACTTGGTTGGATTGGCAGCTTCCTGTACCAACGAAAGCTCCAAGTACGTGTTAGGGGATCACTTTCTAACCCAATTGAGGTGGAATGTGATGTCCCACAAGGCTCAGTGCTGGGACCGCGTTTATTCCTGGTGTTTATCAACGACCTGGCAAGGGCCATCTCCTCAAATTTACTGCTTTTCGCCGATGATGTCAAGATATGGCGGGCTATTGGTAACAAGCCAGATCAGGATCTGCTCCAACATGACCTGGATTGCATTTACGAATGGTCAAAGAGGAACAAGCTTCAATTGAGCATAGCTAAGTGCAAGGTGATGCATCTGCGTCACCAGCCGGTGAGCGCTTACAAGATTGGAGACCACACCTAGCCAAAGGCTTCTCAGGAGCGTGACCTGGGTGTATTGGTACAGGAAGATCTCGGGTGTTCAAAACAAGCAGAGAAGGCGAGGAGAACCGAAAATCAACAATTCGGCCTTCTTCGCAGAGCCTTCGGTCGGTTTGAACCCTCAATCTTTCCCCAAATTCTTAACGCCTACGTGCGGCCTCACGTGGAATATGCTACTCAGGTGTGGCAGCCGTGGCAGAAACAGGATCTCGTTGCTCTCGAGACTCCTCAACGAACGGCAACCAAGAATGTCAGGGGCCTCTTTCATCTGTCTTATCAGCTTAGACTGAAATCTCTAAGAATCTACAGCAGTCGATATCGGCTTTTGCGGGAGGATCTCATAGTGGTTTACCAGATTCTGAAGAACCCAAACCACATTTGTCGTCCGCTACTGGAATTGAACCACAACACTAAACTAAGAGGTAACCCTCTGAAACTGTCAATTCAGTATAGCCGGCTTTAATGCCGTAGAAATTTCTTTTCTCTCCGCGTGTGCCAGCCTTGGAACGCACTCCCTAATTATGTCGTCTCTGCTCCCAATTCGGCGATATTTAAAAAACGTGTTGACGATGCATTGTCTCACTTACATTTCATTTTATGACTTGTTAGCCACGGGATACAAAAGGCAATCAAACTGTGTCTTGCCAAACGACTAACCAATGGAGTTATGGGTCTATACGTTTAATACGCGAACATCTCCGCTATTCCGCATAACTCTATGGTGAGTCCACCACAAGGCTTTTTACTTTATTATGCAATTGCTTTTCACAATAATTTCCACCCTACAGGACTTGTTAAGCGATGCTTTTTTACCCGTGATAAACCATTGTTCCATTGTTCCATTGTTCCATCAGCAGGACAGTGCACAGAAAGCACACATGGCCTGGGAAATACACGGACTTTCACAGTGCAGTGTAGCTACAATAGAAGAGAAGTTTGATTCGCTCTCTCGCCTTAAGTGCACACCTTAAAGTAATCTCAAGAGGCTGGGGGGGGGTTACAATCAAGGTGGTGTAACATAATAGAGCTGTTCATAAACCTCATGCCACCTTGATATATCCAGGTAGGAATGTGCTCGACAATCTTCTGTATGGGCGGGTCGCAGTGCGACCATCAGATACTTCGAGATAAATTTGTCCGGATAGCTATTTTCTCGCAAGACATCGCTGATCTTCTGCAAGTTTTCGTTCATGGTATTCGGTGTACAAATACTGTGTGCACTTAAGGCGAGAGAGCGAATCAAACTTCTCTTGTACTGTAGCTACACTGCACTATGAAAGTATGTGTATTTCCCAGGCCATGTGTGCTTTCTGTGCACTGTCCTGCTGATAGATTCCTCGGAGCTGCGAATCATTAAAAGCTTGCAAGAACTGCATCGCACTCAGGGCGGGAGGAGATCTACGAATAGCTTTATTAAGTCGCACCCTCTTGATTTTAACCCACCCAACCTCTTGAGATTACTTTAAGGTCAAATACACGCTACCTGAACGTTTCACTCAGGGTTTCTGTAAGCAGTTTCTTTCATTTACCGGGGGCTATTTGCATCCGGGATCTAAAGCCCGAACAGCTTGTGCAAAGGCGCTACGTACGTCCCTTAATACTTCCTTGGCTAACGGAAAATGTTACCTAATCATTCCATTGCCATTTGCGCTTCTATATTGTGCTACTTTTGTTTTGCTTACCATCTATAGTCTAAACTTGAGCTATCGATCAACCGTTCAAAAAACCCAGCAATCACTTTTCATACCGATTTGACGCTAACAACACCGAATCTCTACCATCTAAGCGTTTGCGTCCGATGAGAGCATACGTAAAAAGAATTCTTACTCCGACTCCTTTGGCTTTGATTCTGTCCCTCAGATAATAGTACACTTCTTCAAGTTTATCTGGATATGGTTTACGCAAGGTTAAAGCAGAATTTCTTCAGCTTAATTAGGGTAAATTAGAGTGCTGCACCTACGACACTAGCCGATGTTTTCATACAGCATCAGCAATCGGGAGCTTCTAAGGTTTTCTAGCAAATGAATCCAGATTATTTGGTCCAGCCGGAACTTGATTGTTCTATTCAGGCTGAAAAGATGTCAAGATAGGCATCCAAAACTTGGGCATGCTTAGACAATTCGACCGATCAATGTTTTCACAGCTTGTCAGCTCGTACATACCTCTCCATGTGAAATACACAATACGGTTCTAGAAACCATGGTTGAAGAGAAATCTCATCGTCTTGGAGATACTCCAACGTCAGGCAACTAATAATGTCAAGGGTCCGTATAATTTGCCGTATAAACGTGCGCTTCAACTGCTCGTGGTTTTCAGCAGAGGATAACCACCTTTTCACGGGGATTTAATTTTGACTCACCAAATTTTGAGCGATCCCAATCACACGTGCCGCTCATTGCTAGAGCTCAGTCGTTTGGAATGCCCTCGGAATCTTTGTGTAGGTATTTACAAAACGTGGTGTGCTTTACAGGATTCTGTCATTTAGGCTCCCACGCTCGTATTTTAGAGTTTGAGTTGACCGTGCACTCATTTCGCTGCACTACTTCACATAACTCAGTACGCATGGTCTGTTCACTGCCTATGAACTCCCATTATACCTTCCATCTTTTGCAGTAGGCGGCATAGTTTTTACATATGTCCTAATTGTCGTATTCTTTATGTAGTTACGTTGGGATCGGTAAGTTCACCGATGTGAGCCTACTTTTGCTGAGACATTTTCTTTATGTTGGATGTACAGCACAACCATCCCACTGGACCTGTTAAGTCTTAGTTCATTGAAGCATATTGAACAATTGTTCTTTTGTTACATAGAAGATTCGGTACAATCATCTCTTTCCGGCATGCAACCAAACACCCAGCAAAGCATTCATCTAGTGTCATTCACTTCGGGTTCGGTTAGTACTTATCATTCTTTCGAAACTGAAGATAATGATTAACATTCTATTTTTAGACATAAACTTTTCGTAATCCTTAAAAAGATCGTGTGTTTTCACACTGAACAAGCATGATCTTCCTATGAAACAGTTGTGCGCGGAGCTTGGTACTTTTGTAGATGACACGTAAATGTTTTGCCATTTTTTCTTAAATTCTGGCATCGCAATGCTATCTGTTGAAAATGCACATTCAAATCTCATCAGGTCACAAATATGATTTCCAAACTACTGCCCAGTTGCACTCCCAACTCACCTTGCTGCATGAGTGAGCCCACGGTGAACCAGAAGCTGTTGAACAAAGTGAACTGGTTCTCCACTGCTGGACTGCAAGGATGTCGCGCATACCACTCGTGTGGTGTCACTCGACCAAGAAGAAACAAAGTCAGGCTGACTACCAGGTAAGCGACCAGTACTGAGATCCAAACCTGTGTATGAGGGAAGCATACCAGTAATTTCAAAATGTGCTAAGTTAATTTCGTCCAGACTCAGCCAGGTAGCAATGTATTCCGTCGCAGTTCAAATATATGAGAGACTGAGGAAAATGTGAACATTCACTGACCAGATAAGTAACTTACTGGCTTCAAGGACGGCAGAGACGTCTTGCCTGGAGGTGAGAATCTTTTCGAAGCAGGTGTTGAGCTAAGTACTAGTTTTAAACTGTTATGACAAAGATATCCATGCTTGTTTGCCAAACCTTTACCAATGAGTTGATAAGTTAAACAATGATCACGAACAGTTCATGCAACTTACCTCATTGGACAGGGGAGCGGTAAACTGTAATCCCGGGTCCCGATTGCTTTTTCTGATTATGACACTCAAAGATAGGCTCATAAACGGGGTTGTGAAATCGATTACACGTTCTCGATCATAGGTGATGGTGAGAGAAGCCACCGCGAGATTTGCTTTCTTTACATGGTGATAAGGAAAGAGATGGAGATAACTAATTTACACGGCCAATAGTTTTACACACATCAAAAAAGCACTTCATATATGGTGACGAGTGATGTATACCTGTAGTTCAATAGATCCGTCGTGTACAATTGGATAAAAAGCATAAGTTTACAAGACCTACAGGGTGGAATATGCACAAGAGCTTTTAAAACAAAAATATGTTCCAACGTGGGACGCGAATCATCAGTAGTAGGGGTGTCGCACTTTATCACAATGCTTTGTTGCGGTTAACACTATGATAATGGTCTAATAGTCGTCAAATGTCACCATGTCTGGTGCGTTCTTCACATGTATTGGTAATGCCTTACAGTGGGAACAGATTCTAAATGAGCAAAAACACTTCCTATACGCCAAACGGGAGTGTTGCGGTACTAGTCTCAGGTGATGGCCCCGACTTTATTTTATAAGGAGCTAGGGTCAGCAGTTATGTACGTGGGAGCTGGATTCCATTTAGTATCCGGTATGTGAGAGCGAGATCTGCGCGAAACCATCGGTATTCTGAAGAGAACACACCGAATAAACGGAGGTGCAGTTCGTAACTGGGGCCCGGATATTCCATGTGTCGCCTTGGTGGTTCTTCTTTAGGGATGTTCCACGAGACGAATATATCGTTTTAATCATGGGAGGCAGACCCGAACCGCACATCCTACATAACGACGAAGCTATGTGTTGATAAACAGTGGTACTAGTCGTCGCTCAAAGGTGCCAAGAGCTGGCCTCAAATGCCTCAAGATAAAGTTCGCCACATTGGCTGCTTTCGTATCGTTCACTAGTCACCTGTTACAAAGCATGCTGTCCTAAAAGATATACGTTCATAAAGCTGTTGCGCACCGTTAGCAGGTGGCTCTTTGCTGATTCCTTTCCGCCAATTCATTAATCCGGTCCAGACCATTCCGGAGACAAGCATGGTTGAAGGCTGGTTGGAGGCATCATCTGCAAATATCTGCATGCGGGATTAAATGTTTGCTGGGAGATCATTTATGTAAACTAACAGACTAGCGAGAGGGGGACGGACCCTTGCGGTACACCACTGGATGCGTACAGGCTTTCGAAGTGGATGTTGTCTATTTTTAGCCGTTTCGTTATGTCTTGTAGGGTATCTTTCAAACAGGTGAGCATGTAAACGTTTATACCGTAGGCAATAAGTTTTTGGAGGGGAACGCAGTGTTTGACCCTGTCGGATGTCTTAGAAACACCTGAGTAAAACACATCTATGGGACTCTTTCAACATCTGCCTGGGTTCAGAATCCAGAGCAAAAAGCAGGTTTTGGTGGCAAGATCTTTGCGTCTGAAACCAAGTTTTATATTGGAGAGTACTTCTGGATTTTCAAAGTATCGCGTCAGTTCAACTGCGATTACCGATTTCATCACTTTTGATAAAACAGGTAGGAGAGTAATAGTCGGTAGTCGGCTGGATCAGATCGCTTACAGCATTTGTATAGCTGAGTGATGCTTACACGTTTCCACTCAGATGGGAGTTTATGGGAGCCAAACCGACCCTGGAAATAGGCTGCGAGAAACGCTGCTATGGTGGAGGTAAGAGTTTTAAGTACGTTTGAGCAGATCGTGTCGATTCTCGATGCACTGTTTTCTCGGAAAAACTGTAGTTTGTTCAAGGCAGCCTCTGGGGTAAAGACAACCCTGGATAAGCTGACGCCATTTGTTGGGAGTTGATGGAGCAAAGGTTCCATGGTAATTGGTCACTGAGCCACACTGCAGGAGTAGAGCGTTCGCGGTATCCACAGCAGTAGTCGTTAAGCCGCTGGCCGTCTTGAGTGAAATTATTCCAGGTGTAACCTTGCTTTCGTCCTTCACAGACCTCGAAAATTTCAGTACCATGGTATGCTGCTATTCGTACTTGTTTGCTCTTATAAGTGGTGTCACATGTATCTCAATACATCAAAGAAACCTGGGATAGAATAGTCGATAATTCTACACTCAGCTAATTTACCAAACAATGGTGGGATTTTACAATTGGCTTGGTAAACTGGATATTTGGTGAGCTCGTAGTACCCATTATTTGAGCCGGTGCTTTCGACTGACCTGCAATCATAAACGGATGGGGACATAATTATCAGTCTAGCCTTGTTAACAAACGACTGCTAGCGTTGGTACTGGGAGTTTCAATCGAATTCCCTCGACACTGCACCACAATTACAGATTGAGAGAGTCACATGAATAGTATTCGCTGGCCCCTCTATCTTGCAACCTTTGACGTAGCACATTGATTCCGTGCTGCGTCCGCCAGAAAAATTTACGCTAGTTTCTTTGGACGCACTCCGGAGCATTTCGCCATAAACGACTGGATTTACCTTCATCTGTTCTGGATTGACCAGTGCCACCTCGTAAAACCGTTACCTGAAGAGCACTACCAGCGCACCTTGCATTTTTCCAAGCACTGTTAAACCGACGCCCACAAATTATTCTAACCAAACAAAACATTTGATATCTCACTCCATAGGGCATTCCAACATCGTTCTAACAAGCGCTCATGCCTTCCAGTTCAACATCGTGTCGAGAAGCTACGCTGCAAGTTATTTCTCTCCGTAGACAACTCAAGAAGCCCCACGACAAGTCCGCTCTGCCATTCACCATCTTGTCTGGGAGTGGTCTATAGACCCAGATGAGAAACCCCATTTATCAACTCATTGTACGATCTGTAGCATGGACGCACAGAACCATTTGACCGACACAACAGACGACCACCTTGAAAGGACACCGCACAGTTAAACGCGTGCGAGTTGTTTCGTTTGATCGTGCCATCAACGCTGAAAGCAGCTTGCGGAGATATTGTCAAGTCGTTGTGCGCAGGGGCCTTGAATTGTGTTCCCGACTACCTCACAAAATAATCATCGAAAGTGTGAGCACAGCACCAGTTTCGCCGACAACGTTTATATTAGGCTGCTCAGGCAGAACCAGCGGCCGAAATGGCTTACCGATCATTATGACACTCAATGCCTGCCTAAGGGGAGCGAAGCATGGATTGTCAAAACGCAACATAAGCTACAGTGCGGGATGCTTTCCCAGATTGTATGGATTAAATTGGCATGCTGTAACGGTTGTAACATTTCCGTCCCGATTGTGGTCTGCTGACTTTACGCTAAGCACAGGACCATAATGACAGGGTTAATCCCGCTTAGTCCTGCTCGGAGTATACGGCTTTTCGACCCAGCAGATTTACAGCTGTACTGACGCAAATGCGCGCAGACATTCACCTAGTATAGAGCGATCAAAAGCAGTAAAACTGTTCCACTAGACCCAGCTGAACAGCAACTTTGTACCTCATGCCCGGCATCAGGCTTCAGTTGAGAATAATGCAGCCAGGCCAGACGTTAGAGCAATTATCCTACTTGCTACACACAAAATTTGTTCATGCATAACCTCAAAGTTGCCCAGAAATTTTTTCTTAGCATATCTCTACGGATACCGTAATATTTCCAAAGGTTTTACTAAATCGTGATATTTAACTTTCCACAATTCGTAATTTTTTAGTCTTAAAACAAGCATACATGATGTGGCTGGAATTTTAAGAGCATAACAAATTTATTTGTTTAAAGAATCTCCCTGTTCATCCGGCCTGATACCATCGATGATTGATGCCAAAGTCAACCACTGCAACCCAGCCAGAAAGACTGCTGATGCTACGTAAAGTGTGTGCAAGGGAGTAAGTGTGTCCCTATCTGGGAATCAACAAGTCGGCGTCCGGTAACGATTAGTTTTGTATTGGGAATCCTTCGTGCATACATGTGGCTAACGTACAAAACAGTTTTTGCTTGCTGTCGCGCACTGATTTGAACGTCCTGCTTTTACGGTTGTTACTCGAGTTTTCTACTGCGGTGCCGCTATCCGGATTTCGTTTGGGCACAACACGGCCAGTGTAGATATGGTCAACTTGCGCAGCCGGCGTGGATTGGATTCCCAGTCAAGTTTCCCGCGTAGATTTCGATCACGCAAGGTTCCAGCTACTACCACACTGAAATAGCTGTACCCGACATGCTTTTACTACGAAGCGATCTTCCAATAACCCTCATCCCGGCACTATCCACAGTAATGGGTGGTGGTGTCGCCGAGGATCATAAGGGATACCTTAAGAGCAAAAACATAATGATGTCGCAACAGAACGGATTTTGTCGAAATGGATCCTGCACCACAAAATTGCTGCTAGTCCGAGAAAGCTGGATATAAAAAGTTATGCTAGAGTAAAATTCAGTGTAGTTTACATGAACGTCTCGAAAATGTCCAATAACTGCAGTATCTTTCCCAAGATTTACGGTTGGCTAATCGGTGAGTAAGTCCTGGATTGGATAAACCATTACCTGCTTGAAAGACAGCCGAATGTGAGAGTCCACAGGGCCATTTCCAATTCAGCTCGAGTCAAGTGTGGCGTCTTCCAAGGTTCGCTACTAAGACTATTTTTATTAGTGCAACGATATTCCTACAACTGACGGGCTACCTGAAGATCTGGCATCACATGAGGGTATTGATCCAGCACACGCACTGCAGAGCGACATCGAATCCGAAAAGCGGCACTAGATAACTTGGTGAAATACAGCGACCTGAGCATAAAATATCAGCTTGCCCATGGCTATTGACCTGCGGAACAGATAATCTACCTTGCTTCCCGGGAATGTGATCAGGGAGCGATTGTGCAGATTGAGGTTGCATGTTCGAAACAGACTGAAATGGCATCGAAAAGAGAATGTCAGAGCCTTGGCTTTTCATGGTTTCAGTTTGGGAGTTCTAGTCAGCTGCCTTTTCTTAAACGCTTAACACGTATGTCAGGATGTGATGGGAGTATCATATCAAAGTGAACATGTGAGCCAACCGAGCGAGCCAGATAGACAATTGTCGATAAGTGTAACTGATTTGATTACTGGACATGGATTGGCTGACATTTATGTGAGTTACTCATCGTTTGTTTAACTGAGTCAAAAGAAGTACGTCACTGCCTCAGAAGAGTCGATTATAGTAACAATCTACAAGTAGGTCAGTCGTACAGAATGTGGTTACCACGGGGGTATTAGCCTAACGCTGTTGGTGACAACATTACTGGCATCAATACTCTTTCGGCGCCTTACAGTGAAACGGGAAACCCGGATTATAGAAGAATACGCAGTTTTCCGTTCAGGAGATGGCGATACATACAATATATTCACTTTGCGGCAAGCGCTACAGCAGCGCCACCCATATCGCAGACCGACAATAGCTGTGTTCCTCGATTTCAGGAGTGAGTTCGCATCAGTCGATCGATGCATCCCGTACGAAATACTTGCGCTGAAAGGTGTTCCCACGAAATATGTGAACATCTTACGCGCTGTATACTCGAACACTAAAGGCCACGTCAGGGTCTACGGTAATCTGTCGGATAGGTTTCAGACAAGTGGCGTTCAAGGTTGTCGATTTCTTTGATTACGTTCAATTTTGTCGTGGACTCCATCATGGAGTGATCCCTTGCGAAATCTCAGAATGTAGGAGTTATTGTTCTGTCTGGTGAACGGTTAGTCGATCTTGTGTGTGTGAAACTATCACTTTGCTTTATGACGAGGTTGTGGAGGCATAATGATTCCCGGATAGCTTATCCAGTGTGGTCCCATTATTTAATATGCGCTTGGCACCCTCAAAGTACAAATTGTTACTGCAGGACCGCCAGTCACTTGATGACCCTTGATAACCAAGACCTCGAGGTGGTTGATTTACTCACTTACCTTGGCAGCTGCATTAGCAACAATGGGCGCATACCAACACAAGTCAGGTCACGCATTGCAAAAGCCAGAACTGCCTTCTAAAACCTGCGGTATCTTTGGCCACGAAGGGTGTGACGGGAGTGTCAGAGCAGAGTGGACGGATGGACAAACAGAACGAGCCATACGGCCAGTGAGAGGCGGGCGTAACAGTTTCGATTATTCTACTCGGGTTGGCCGATATTCGTGTGCATGATTCACCGTTTGTTTAACCAAAACAAAAGAGGACCCTCATCGACTCAGAAGCGTCGTTAGTTAAGGGCTTGAACCTGCAACTAATATCGAGGAGTTTGGCTTGGCAAACATGTGATAATTATCGCCGACTTGACCATGCTGAATAAACATACATATATAGATATATTTGCAACTGCCTACGAATAGGCATGGAGTCATCAAAAACCAAGGAATTCAAAGGAAGATACAGAAAGATTTACAATACACAAGAACCCTTTCCATGAAAGACTCTATTCTACAACAGAAGGAATTGTCCTATGTCTGAAAGGCAATGTTTCAAAGGCAACATTGAGGGTTATCCTGCTCATTGGGATGAAAGTTGGTCCCTTCGGTTAGATGATATGAGGCGTTTTCAAGTCATTGGTTATCATTGTCTGCGGAGCATTGCTCTTGTCGTATGGCACCAGCGTGTCCGCAACGATGATGAACGTTGGTGAGTATCAGCCAGTGATACTCTAGTTTCCTAGAATAACAGATAGCACTGAGAACTTGAGTTGGACTGGCCACGTGCTACGTATGTCTAGTCACCTGGCAGACCCTAGGAGGGTCTGCCAGATATAGTTGACTTGGCAGCATGAAATGAAGTCACCGACGACCAAGCTGGGTATCATCGGTCCGTCTGGCCTTGCACCCTGGAGTCCACTTGACTCGACTTCCGTATGGCTTGAGACCTTACAGGACATGGCTCGCAGTTGATACTGGTGGCGCGTCTGCTGCCGTCTCCTGTCGGACTGCCTGTTTAATGTGCCTTTGGTGCTGAGTTATCTGCTGGGTAATGGCTGACAATGTAGCTGGACAGTAAACGCCGTAAGGAAGCTTCCTCACTGAGACCGCTTTATTTTCACACGATAGTCAGTTGTTTGTGATGACATGTACTTGGCAAAGTGTATGCGCCTTTCCCCTAAATGTTTACTTAGGATAGTAATGTCTTCAGGTAAGTCCCCCTTCTCTCCTTCTTATTATTCTTTATTTCTTAGCTCATCATGGTTGCATGGCAGCGAAGCATCAATTCAATTGACTGATGTACTGCCGTTTTTGTTTGTTGCTTGGTTTAGTTTGATGCGCATATTGACGAAATACCTATATGTTTATTACCCACCACCTTGTCTATACTGGCTCCAGGAGACAGTGAATTGTTATTAGATTGGTGGATTTGCTAGACTCAAAGAGTTGTGCCATCTAGAGTTGAGCGGGCTACGACCTAGCTACCGCCTTGCGTACGCCTGGTCCACAAGTTCCCCTAATTACAGAATGCTTCTGCGTGCCTGTTGAACGAGTGGGAACCGGCTACTTTGTGGAAACGTGGCTTTTACGCGCATGTCCTCTGTCTTATTCATTCGGTTTTCCACAGCATATGAAGTGTGTGGGTAGAGCTGTGCATGATGCAGCGCGCCACCATTGGTCCCTCTGTAGGCGCAGGCTTCCAGTGGCTGTCCCCCACCCTGTAGGCAGCACTGACAGGCAATTCTGTAATCGGATGTCTCCAACCATATATACCTGACTGACGTAAGCGCTCAAGCGGAATTGATTTCAGCAGGTAATTGACTCTGTGGTGCTGGAACTTTCAGCTGATCTCTTGAAGTATCCGGTCTCTTTCCAGGTATAAAATTTTGAGAGACCATGTGGTTAAATACTCAAATGTTAGCTCCATTTATTGGTCGGTTTGGCCGGTCACCGGAAATTTGGAGCATGCATTGCACAAACACGATTCCGGCTGAAGGAACAGAGTGAGTGTAAAGCTGCATCCTCCTGCAAGTACAGGCAAGTAAACCATAATTAAAAATCGAGTGCATGTTGTTTGCGCCAAAGCAAGATGCTGTCATCCATGCTTAATGTATTTCAACCTGACAGTAGAAAAATTTTGACTTCATTCAGCTCCTTACATGGTAATACTGAATGACTTCTAACATGACTGGAGTAGTTTCGACGTTCGTATGCTCAAACGGTATCGGCTTACTTGCGACGTTGGGTAGGGATCAGGGCTCACTAAGATACTGTTTTGCTCCTTACACCACTATCGGTAAAGTCCCATCCTTTGGTCTGCATTCAGCAAACTTTGATCCAAGACACCCGGCGTTGAACATTCCTTCTGAGGTTTAAGTACAGCGAGTCAAAAAGCAATACGTTTATTACTTGCTTTATCACTCATCAATCAATCACTTACACAGTATGGCCTGTCCGACGTTTAGTCTCAGAAAGCATGTTGGAACTCTAGGTCACTTCGGCATCTCGTTCCGAGAGGAAAGAATAAGTTACTTAGATCCGAGGCACTACGAATTATGGCATTACACTATTAAACATTGTCCAGTACCCTGAAACCGGACCCCGTAGTTGCCTCAAATTGTCTGGAAACTGTTTTGCTACCACCTAGAACTTCCCTACTTGACAGTGAGGTAGTATCACTTCGTCCATTTTTGCCGTTCAGCGAAGGGCAGTTGGTATCTCTTATTCACTGGGGCATTGTGGCCGTTCACAATATTCGTACTGGTCAGCTTTCTGAATCATTTCATAATGCATGAGTGTAGTCACAATATTGGGTTTGAAAAACGATGTTGTCTCTTGAGTAATAACATTCGCAGTTTTTTACTTTCAATTTGAATCCTCCAACTTGAGTGCAACAGCTGATGACCAACGAGTTTTGGTGCGCTATGGAATGTTGTTCCAACCTCCCTAGGCTCATCAAGCCTGTGAATCAGTCATGACGACAGATGTTAAGAGAAAAACGAAGAGATCGCCAGGATGGAGAGCAGAATAATAGGAAAAACAATGACTCTTGAGATACTAAAGCTGGTTCTCCAATTTGATACATGCGAATGGCCCGCAGAATGCAGTCGGCGGCCGCAGGTGATTTTGAGTACAATCTGCTCTTTTTAGCATCAGCACATAGTTGGGGAATTCTTTTGTTGTCAAGATAATTTTAGAAGTGTCTACATCATAATGCTACAATGCTTCACTAAACTTTCAAACACCATGTTCGATAGCGTCAGCCTGCATATTTGCCTATGTGGACGCATCACAACATGGAGTTCTCTGTAACTTAGCTTATCCTAGCATATATATATATATACATATATCATGGAGGCTCACTTTGTATACCAACTCTCCGATTAAGCCGTCCCATTTGCCAGTGGTTTCATCAAAAGTGCCGAATTTACGATCCTCGACAGGTTTGACCACGTAATCGAAGTGGTTCATTACACTAAGATGTTTGAGTAATTCCATAGCAAATCCGGTCCATCGGTCGTTTCCCTTCAGGTGCTTTCCTTGACGAAACGGTTCGTATATCACAAACGGCGGGTCCTAAAAGAGATGGCATTGCAACTTATATAAGCAAAAGTTTACCAACAAGTGAAAATGTGGTGAATTAGCAGGTATTTATGGCTCAAAAAAGAAAATGACGAAACCTTTCTCGAACGGATGCTCAAACATTAGAACATCTCTCATCGGTTCGCACCACGTGCATAGTTTTTCTTTCAACTAATCAAGTAAGCAATAGTATCAGGTGCGCTGCGTTGCAGAACTGCTGGTGATAGAGATGGTAGTAGGTTTACAGCATTCTACTGTCGTCATGCATCTAACTTGGCTAGTGGATTTATCAGCCGTGCTGACTGACTGAAGCAGCAGCCGGTCACACTATGGACTAAGTGAAAAACCTTGAAAATAATTATGTTTAGGTTAGATCATTAGTAGACCCACAAGTTGAACGAAAAAGGTTATTGGTGATATTAACAAAAGATTTACTTTATCGGTTTGGTAGTATGCTACATTGTACCTCAGCTCAATATCCGCAGCCTCGTCCAATTGTAAAACCCATTGGAGATCACTGAGTACTGTGCTATCTGAAGACGGGATAACATGAGGAGGCTAATCTAATGTTGGACAATGGTACAAATATGATATTAGAAAACAAAGATCCTTTATTCTATATGCAATCCAGGATCGATGTTCCGTTGCTGTTGCTTTTCACTACTCATCGTTTGCTGCCCGTCCTACAACTGCCGTGCTGTTCATTACCCGCAGCCTGCGTTTACCAGCTTCTCTTCGGACCCATCCAAACCTGTTGCCAAGATGAGCACCGTTAATGATGCGTCGAACCGATCCCGTGCCGTTCGTCCAGCCAACGCATTTATTACCAGCTAGTACGGGTGGTGATTATATGAATTTCTTTGTGCCGACCACAAGTCAGCTCCGTTCTCGCAACTGATTAGAGCAGTGGTTCTCAAACTTTCTGAGGTTGTTACCCACAAAGCGGGTTTACTATAAACATTTACACTAAGAAAAGCATTTAGTTTGAAATCTATATTTTTTTCTCTGAAATACGGAAAATGAATACTACTTATAATCACTGTCAAACAAGCAAGTAAAGGAAATCACTAATTTTGAGAAATTTTGTATTAAAACAATACGTGAGGTACGTCAGTGAGATAGGTCCTATTGCTTAGTTATGAATATAGTTAGTGCAGTTTCTACTAACATAGATCGCAACTAGTACACTAAGTGCATTCGCTTCCTTGCTTTGGTGGCAATCCCTGATCAAACAGGAACAAATGTCAGTGACTTTGTAATTGTTTCAAGCATCGCTTCCATGCCCCTGCTTGATGACAGCCTTCTACCATCACTATGTAGCCACACGTCCTGAACACTAATCGCCTGTTTTCGTTCTTCTAGCTGGTAAAACTTCGCTCGCTCCCTTACCTGGTCGACTGATATATGTTCCCACCTTCGCGTTCACTCAGCACTGCATTTCGACCCCGTGAACGGATACCTAAAGTAAGAAACAACGACGAGCCAACCGATACAGGCGCCATCTATCTGCGTTGCTTCGCGAGTTTGTATTCGTATATAACGCTGTAAAATTTATCACCGGAAATTGTCTAATTCACTAACCATCCATTAATGATTTGTCACTGATGCCTAATCAATAGTGATTAGGTAGTTAGTTGCATGCTTTTCTACTTATGATATTGCTATTAATTTTCTTTGGTAACAGATTTCTGGCTCAAACACTGTAGTTGGATTTCCCCCCGTAAAATTTCATTTTACATCTTTGGGAGTAAGTACCGCCAGGTTGCGAAACACTGGACTAGACACTGGTGTAGCCCGAACCCTCAGCTTGTATTCAATGACGCGGGTATGCTGCTGTCTCCACTCTCACTTAAAATCACACTTTGTTACCTTTAAGCTAGGTGAAGCCGAGTATGAATTACTCATTCCTCAGTTGTTTACCTGGAAGGATCGAGCAAGCAAAGATGGTGAGGTAGCCCTCTACTTTCGTAGCAACATGCAATGCGAACCCATAAACGATACGGAAACCTGACGCCATTTGGTGCAATTTCCGGCTGAGAGGGAATGATCTTTGCCTATTGGTTGTAGTTTACCGCCCACCATCGTCTACTCCTGAGATGGACTGCAACTTGATGGCTGCGTTGAGGCAAGTGCTAAACAGGAAGTACAGTCGCCTTCTAGTCACCGACGACTTCAACGTACATGCTCTAAAATCACAGGCCACACCAGGAGAGCAATTCAAAGCAGACTTGCAAGATCTGGATTCAGACTACCCTATTTATGGCAACGTCACTATGGCCACCAGGTTCAGGGGAACTAAGAGACCATCCATATTGGACCGAATATTCACCAATGAAGAACTGATGGTCGCGAGGGTGATAACCGATATTCCTTTGGGCCGCAGTGATCATGCGACGATAGTGTTTCATTACATGTGCTACGCGGATTATCCTAAAGAGCATGCCGAGGAATATCGTGTCGTAACCAACTATGACGACCTGTCCGACCTCAATGATGCAAACAGCTGGTCGTTCTTAGCTGAATTAAACCCAGAGGTGGCCTGCGGTGAATTCGTCAACATATTTACCAAGCTCGTGGCAAGGACATCTGAAACCAAACTCTACCGGCCTAAAAGGATGAAATCTTTCGTAAGGAGCAGGACGTGTAAGTGCATGGCATTAAGGGACTTGGCATGGCAAACCTACATAGCCTCCCCGAACGACCATACCTGGGATGTCTACACAATACAAAGGAACCGCCGTGTCAATCTCATCTGGGAGGACAAACTGAAGAATCAACAAGGTCTGTTGGAAAAGTTTCGCTCCAATCCCAAACTGCTATCCAGACACGTAAACAATTTGCGCCGTGTTAAACGCAGTATTTCTGCTCTGCACACAGCATGCGGGTTAGTTCAAACCGCACGAGAGGCAGCCAACATCCTTGGACAACAATTTGGCCGTAACTTCCAAAGCGTGCAATCATCATACATCCTGCCTAAGCAGATAATATCGCCATCAGGACTTACTCACATATCGTTCACTTCCGCAGCTGTGCTGAAGAGACTGATGTCTCTGCGTGAGTTCAGCTCCCCGAGTGCGGACGGCATTCTCCCCGAAGTCAGGACTACTAGCAATTTTCTTTCAACGATGTATGCACGAGATGCACGTCCCAACGATGTGGAAGCACGGAATCATCAAGCCAATCTACATAAGTGGCAGCTGTTCTGAACCAGCAAATTATCGCCCGATAACACTACTTCCTATGATCTCCAAGGTTATAGAGTCCATTGTAGCTGAGGCTTTGAGGGGATACATGGAGAACAATAACACTCTCGTTCCGGAGCAACACGGATTTCGCCAAAATTGCCCCTGTTCCACTAATCTGTTGATTGCTCGTGCAAGCTGAACGGAATCTGTGGACGCTGGTGTAGGAGTCGACGCGGCCTACTTGGATTTCTCAAAGGCATTCGACCGTATAGACCATCCCATTCTCCTTCATAAACTCCAGAACTATGGAATCGGAGATCCTGTTCTGGGCTAGATAGGAGACTTTCTCGTGCAACGCCACCTGAATGTGAGGGTTAGAAGCAACCTGTCGGAATCCATCGAAGTTCATTGCGGCGTACCTCAAGGCTCGGTACTTGGACCTCGCCTGTTCCTGGTCTTCATAAATGACCTCGCGAGTGTGCTATCTCCTAAGTATTTGCTATTTGCTGATGACCTAAATGTATGGCGCACTATAGCTGCAGTGGAGGATCACACAGTGTTACAGGAGGACCTGGACAAATAGTACACATGGTCCATTGAGAACATGCAGCATTTCAACGTCACCAAGTGCAAAGTTCTTAGCATACGGCACAAGAGTATGCACAACTACCGCCTTGGACCACAAATTCTACAGCGGGCTTCTCACGAGTGCGATCTCGGTGTGATAGTTCAAGACGACCTCGGTCGTTTGAGGCAGACTGAAAAGGCAGCTAAGAAAGCAAACCAGTACCTCGGTCTTCTTCGCAGAGCTTTCGGGAAGTGTGACCCTTCAGTCTTTCCAAAAATGCTTAGTGCATACGTGAGGCCGCACGCGTAATACGCTATACAAGCGTGACAACCCTGGCTCAAGCACTATCTCACCGCGCTCGATACTGCACGACGTAGGGCAAAGAAGAGCGTCAGAGGTTTGACCAGCCTCCCATACCCACTCAGGCTGAAGATTCTCAAGATATACAATGGACGTTATCGACGTCTAAGAGGCGATTTCATAATGGTGTACCTGATCCTGAGAAACCCCAACCACCCATGCCATTCCCTTCTAATACTCAGTCAAAACACCTCGCTAAGAGGTCACCAGTTTAAGCTGGTCACGCAGTACAGCCGCCTGGAATGTCGGCGAAACTATTTCTCCTTTCGAGTGTCACAGCATTGGAACGCCCTCCTGGAACATGTAATTAACGCACCCACCCTATCCCTTTTCCAAAAAACGCATGACGATACGCTGTCGCATTTACACTACGTGCTATAGCCGTGACCAACAGATGCTGGCACTAATGAACAACAGACAGTGAATAGTGCCATAACCCTACTCGAGAATAAGTCACTCCAAAGGCCTTGCACGAAATTTGATAAACGCTACTACCATAGAAGCTGGATTTCTGTATCCCGTCGACCCAAGATGTTCGCACACGAGTAAGCGTTGTCCTTGTTATTTTTTTAATTGTTTATCGTCTGTCACATGATCAATAAGCACTTCCCTTATTGCTTTACGTGTGTACATTCTCATTGCAAACTCCCTTTATACGGCAGTGCAATTAAATCTGTAATCGCCCGAACTGACGACACCATTATCCCTTGATCTATCTTTTTTTCACTCTAAACATCCTACGGGACATATCAAGCGCCTGCTTTTTTACCCATTATAAATCATTGTTCATTGTTCAATAGCTTTATTTTTAAATATTATGGCTCGGCAATGCCCGATTTACAAAAACCATGGTTATTTCGCTCTTATTCCTGTGTCATCAA